AGCATTGCAGGCTTGAATCTGTCAAGATACCTGCCCATATTCTGGAGGTCGTCCTTCTCTTGGAAAAAATTGTCAATAATAGACAAACCCAAACGTTAACTCCCTCTACTACAACTCAGTCCCTTCTCAAAATATACTCTGCAAAAAGGATCCATGGGAGCTGTTCTCTTTGAAAATAGGCTTTAGTGACCCATTTAATTAACAAACCTACATTCTGGTCCCGTGGATCCAAAACCCCCAGTCCTCCCTGGTCTTTTGGCTAACGCACCAGTTCCCAAGCGACTTTATGGATAAAACCTTGTTCTTCCGAGGCTGAGGGTTTCCACAGGTACTGCGCCGCCACCCTTTTGATTTGAGAATAGACCTTGTCTCCCAAATAATGAATGGTAAGCAAAAACCACATAATAGAAAAGACAGCTGAGGTGAGCACCAGGGTCCTCTCAAAAGTCGACAGCTTGTGGCTCCTTGTCCAGCCCTGTATCCTTGCACATACTTTCTCCTTAATAATCTTGTCCTAGGCATTGGAGCAATTTGACAATGACGGCTGAACCCCCAACAGTCGCTTCGAACTCTCGAGAGGTACTTCTTTGAGACCCCAATTCACACACAGGTTATATGGGGCGAGGAGAAAATAGGCGGACTTATCCTAGTTTATAGATGCCTCAGATAGATCACAATATATATCTAATACTACTCTGAGTTCAGTAAAGGAGGCAAGTGAGTTTTCACATGCAATTGTTAAATTATCGGCTATAGCCCCACCCTTCCAATGAATGGAGGGGGGGATCTCCATGCCTCTTATATTAGGATTATTTCTGATGTTGTCTAATAAAACCTCCAATTGTAACACGAATAGAAGGGTTGCTAGGGGGCAGCCCTGTCGGAGAGATCGAGTAAGTTTGAAAGATTCTGACAATCTGTTGTTCACTAAAACTACTGACGTGGCATCCGAGTACATAGCTTTGACGCCTTGCAAAAAATAGGGACCAAAGCCCATGTGGTTAAGTGTCGTGAAGACAAAGGACCATCTCACTTTATCGTAAGCCTTCCCCATGTCAAGGAGAAGGACTGCGATTTCTTTCTTTTCTGAAGCGATAACCTCTAGTGCTTGAAGGGTAGTCATAATATTATCGAATATTGTGCGTCCCTTAACGAAGGCTCCTTGTCCCTGTCCCACCAGTTTGGGTAGGAATTCTGCCAATTTGATAGTCTGGGCCTTGGCTAAGATTTTGTAAGCTACATTTAACACAGAAATTGGTCTATAGTTCCTTACTTCAGATTTTCTTCCCTTTTGTACAGCAGGGATATATACCCTTTTAGGAAACCCTCCGGGAGTGACCCGTCCCTTCTTATGTTGCTATAGACCTTAGTCATAAACGGGTCGAACACATCCCAACATTCCACGTAGAGTTCTGCACGAAGGTCATAAAGGTCAGGACATTTCCCCCGTGCCATCTGCCTAGCTGCTTTGCCCAGTTCTTCTGTTGTAAAAGGTTCCTCTAGGGTCTGTCTCATTTGAAGTGACAGCTTGATCCTGGACCTGTCCCAGAAAGAGTTATTTATCGAGAGGTCAGTGTCATATGAGTCAAAGGGTCTCCTTGTGGAGACAATATCGCTGACGTAGTCAAAGGCAAATGAGCACATAGTTTCTGTGGCAGATGTCACAAGAGGGTTTATCGCAAATGGGTGGGCCAGCTTCCTAATAAGAGACTTTGGCTGTCTAAGAATTAATGATCAAAATGAGATTTTTGTCATCCTTTCGTATCCAATAATTCCCCCTAGTTTCAGCCAATCCAACCACTCTGTCTGTTTTCTAACTTCTAGTTTTTCTAGTTCAATTATGGCCCTACTTATTTTTTTTTACCAGTAGTAATCTGTGAAAGGGTTTCCTCACATCCTTTCTTCTGCATGGGTAATCTCCCTTAGGAGTTGTTTATCTTCCCACTGGAGTGTTGCCGCATGCATTCTTGAAAAATTCATTAGAGCGGATCTTATTATGTTACTCTCGCTAGTCTTCAAACAAATCTGTTGCCTTCTCCCAACACTGGATCTGTTCCCTGATCCATTCCTTTATCCCCTTGTCCTTCACCAGATTCACATAGTCTGAACGAAGGTCTTTTCTTTTGGACCACGTCGACCGCTATGACGTCCATTAGTACCGGATAGTGGTCGGACAACGATGCGTATTGGACCTCTGACCAGCAGCACCTGTCCCAGGGGGCCCCTCGTGCCAAGATCAGATCTAAACGACTTCTGGGGGACTGGGCTCTTTTTGAAGGTCTTGGACCAAACCAAGAAAAACCACTGGTATCCGGATTAAGGGTCCGGTAGACATCGCTTAGGACTTGTGAGTCTATAAGCTCAGTGAGCATATCAGAGTCCGCTCTAACTGGGTTTCTTGATAAAGAGTCTAGTCTCGGAATCAGAATTGTATTCAAATCTCCTAGGAGGAATAGATTTTCGGTATCGGGGATAAAACTGGGTAAGTTTGCCAGGAAATCCACCCTCTGATTTAATTCCACCGGGGCATAGACTGTCATTATTGCCCACTCCTCTTCCCCAAGTTGGAATTTCAGCCACGCCAATCTTCCTTCAGAATCAGAGTAAGAGTCAAGTTCTATAATATTAAGGTTCTTATCTATAAGTATGGCCACCCCGCCACATGTCCCCACTGTTGGGGACCATATTTGGGGACAATCCCAAAAGGCGGCTGCTTCACTAATTTTTTCAGTGTTTGATTTTGTTTCTTGCAGCCCAATTATCTGCACATTCTTCCTGTGTATCCAGGCCCTGAGTCTGACCATTTTATGTCTGCGCGTAGTCTCCCCTAAGCCACGTATGTTCCAGGAGGCAATACGCATCTTAGGTGGAAGGACCATCTGGATCCGGTCTGTTGCAGGGTGGGAGGTTCCTGTTACTCGGCCTTTGCTCATGTTGCGTGCTGCTGCCAACATGATATTAATATTTTCGTTAGTCAGCTTGTCCTGCAGTTCAACTTTTTGGACCCAGTCTGAAAGCAGGGAGCCCTGTCTTCCGACCGGTAGAGGAAAAACGCTGACTTTCTCCGTTTGGTTCGTTACCAGTTCCTACACGAGGAACCAGTGAACACGTAAAATCCCACCATTTATCAAACGAGTCTGTTATGGTTTTGAGTCCCAGTAGTACAAAATAAAATACCACCGGAGGACCCTTTTCCACTTGGGACAGGTATCGATTAGGCTTTGGGATAGGCAGGGGGGCTACCGATCCCGTGTGGTGCAACAAGTGTCGTTTTGTTAACTTCGCCACCTCTTTTTTAGAGGGTGTGTCGTTAACTGGTATCGTCGGTATCTCTGCCACCTCACTGTTCATGAGTCTTGTCAGCACCATAGTTACATTTGAGGAGACATCTGAACAAATCAATGGGATTAGGTACCTTTGGACTGCCCCTTTCAACCTGTTTTGTTTGGATAACGTTTTCATTGGTCCCGCAAGAGAGAGTTCCTTGCGGGAAGTCCGATGAGGATGACTTCGTTTTTGTCCCACGTACTCCCACCCGATAGCCCCCTTGACCATTTTCAGCCGAGCAATTAGTTGGATCCTCTGCAAAAGTACCTATCCCAGTGGTATCATTTCTCTTAACCTTATTGGAGGAAGACTCTCCCACAATCCCCTTTTCTTTTAGGACTGTGCATCTCGTCTTCCCTGATGTTGTTATCAGTTCGCTGTCTGTGAGAGGTCGGTCCTCTGTATTTTGTCCGTAATCCTCTGTATTCCTTCCCTGTAGGTCGTCTGAAGGTTCCTCTTGTTTTGACCTATCTTGCGCCGGACCCGCCGGGATGGCGGTCCTACAGGATGGAGAAGAAGGGGTTGATGAAGGAGGAAGTAGAGATGGAGCTGGAAGGGACAGCGCAGCTCTGACGCAGACTCAACACCGCACGTACTCCAACAGTCCAAAAATGAAGAATGCTAAAAAACAGACAACAGCTGGGGTATACCCCCAGCGGACTCACTGACTGGACTGGACTAGCCTGGTACTGATAGTGGTACCGGGCAGGACTGGAACAGCATACGGCCTGTGGGGTCAGGCCACGGCCCACAGGCCGAACTGGCAAATAGCCAAATAGCCCCAGGGCAGATGGAGGCCCGCTGCACGATCCTCAGACCTGTAATGGATCGCAAGAGCCATAAACACGCTATTCGCAAAAGCAGCGGAACTCTGCAATAAAGAACGCTGAGAAATCTAGGATGCGGAGCAAGCTCCATGCTGAGTCCATGTGATGCAGCCTAAGCTACATAATGTCAAACGAAAAGCAAATGTCTGGTATATATGTCCTAGCTAACAACAAAAATGAAATGTAGCAATATACAATCCTAAAGTCCTGGAGGCAATTGCCTCTGTGCTAAAAAGAAAAAGAGCAATATGGCAGAAGGTAATGTCCTGTCGCTGAACCACTAAGAGTGGGATGGTCTTAGAGGGGGTGAATGCAGCCTAAGAATCGAAACTCCTAAGGGCAGTCACACATGAAGGTGAGATAGGTCATCAGGCTCAAGGTGGGAGAGTGGTAGCGAAACAAAACCAAGGACCCTAACAGATAGACCATCAGGGCGGTTAATGCTCGACAAAAGGATGACACCATGTAGGGTCGACCGTGAAAAAAAAGAAAGTCTGGAATAGGGTGGAGATATGCCTAACTAAAGGGCCGACAGTAGGGCGATGAGGGCAGTGGGTGAAGGAAACATGCACACAACTCACAAACTGGGGGAGAGAGGAGCTAGATCTTGGAGCAAGGAAGTCAAGAAAACGCTACGGTCCCAATGCCATGCGATACCAAGGGAGAGTCCAACTCAAAGAGACCCAGCTAAGTGAGAACCATCATGCGACAGATGCAAGGGAATGTACAGGGTAGGGTGGTGGCGTGAAGTAGTCACGTCCAAAATAGCTGAAGCCGATAAGATGGCTGAAGTCGAGAAGGTGACTGAAGTCGTCGAAGTGGTCGATGATGTCGATGAAATAGGAGTCGAGGTCGATGTCGAAGCAGAGCCGCAAAACGCTGACATCCTGAAGAAGAACTGATGATGAAGTACCTGATGGTGTGAATCAGTGGGGAAGGATAAAGGATAAGTGTGTCAGTCATCGTAACGTGCAAGGCGACGATGAGTGCGCTGTGGACGCTCGGAGGCGACCGTCTGCGGTTGAGGAACGACTTCGGAGGGAGCGGGCTCGTCCTCAGCAATCTCCTCAGCCGGAGGAGGAGGAAGAGGGTGAGTCGGCTGAGCAGGGGAAGCCATCTCAGGACGACGAGCACGATCATATGCACGCACCAACATCTTGGAGTGCTGCAAGTGCTCGAGGGGCTTCCAAGTAGCCTCCTCATCAGGATAACCCTTCCAACGCACAAGGTACTCGATGCATGGAGGGATATCATCGGTCACTCGGCGAGATACGATGTCGGAAACGACGAACTCCTCGTGACCGTCCACCATGATAGGTGGAGGGCGCTCATACGGGCGTCCGGACGAGCGCTCGGACGGTCTGCGATAAGGATGCAGCAAGGAGACGTGGTAGACATCGTGTACGCGAGCCTGTCGAAGGTAATCAGGTAGCTTCACACGGAAGCTGACCGGACTAGCGGCAGTATCAGAACCGACGGCATGAAGGATGCGGCATGGACCGAAGAAACGACGCCTGAACTTGCGAAGTGTGTCCGCTTCGACCTGCAAGTGGCGTGCGTTGACGAGCACATCATCACCGACTTTGAATGGATGATCCATTCGTGATCGGTTTGCTCGTGCGGCCATGCGGGTCTTGGAGTCGGCTAGACTCTCGTGTGCGTGCTTCATAATCGCCGCCATGTGGGCGATCCAGTCGTCAAGCGCAGGACCACGAGTGTCTGGGCGCAACCGCGATGGTCGTAGGAAGTCCGCGGGTACACGAGGGTGGTAGCCGAGATCGCAATAAAATGACGACATCCCCGAGGCTGGCGAAACAGCGTGGTTGTACGCAATCTCCGTGTGGGCTAAGTGTAAGTCCCACTGCTGGTCATCCCTAACAAACTTTCGGAGGATATTACCGAGAGTTTTATTGGTGACCATGCTCAGTGGGTGGGCGGAGGGGACCAATGAAATCCATCGAGATAGACTGCCAACGACCCTCGGGTATGGGTAAGGGCTGAAGTAACCCATACGGGAGGTGGTTCGCACTGTTCACCTCCTGACAGGTAGGACACTCCTGGATGTAGGTTTTGACGAAGTCCTTGGACTTCGGCCAGACGTATAGGCGGGAAACACGAGGCAACGTCTTGTGGAAACCCATATGACCGGCAGCTGCCTGGTCATGGAACTTTGCTTCAGCCTGAACGCGGAGCTGTGCGGTTGAGGGAACGCAGATACATGGTTCTAGCTGACCAGATCTGCCATGCCAGTACACAAGGCCGTTCTCCCCGAGGGAGTAGGAAGGAACGGTCTTGCTACTTTGCAGTGTCGCGTGGATGGCGCGATAATCGGGGCAGTGGCGGTACTGAGTGCGATATGCGTCGATCACCAACTGATCAACAGTGGTGATGGCGATGGCAGCAAGATGGATAGGTTCCTGATTGTGATCAGGACGGCGGGACAAGGCATCAGCGACACGGTTCGTTTCACCCTTGATGGGCTGAGAGATGAAACTGAACTCGGATAAGTCACGCCACCGGCGTGCTTGTCGAGGGGAAAGCTTAGGCTTCGTGAGGAAAGCCTGGACAACTGAGTTGTCTGTGCGCACCGTGAAGGGCGCCCCATGCAGATAATGACACCAATGTCGGGTAGCATAAACTACTGCGAGAACCTCACGTTCATCGGCAGTGTAGTGTATCTCGACAGACTGTAGCTGATGGGAGTGGAAGGCGATTGGGCAATCCCCATCACAAGCCTCAACAGTCTCATCCTCCGTGATGGTCGGGGAGTAAGTAATAGGGGGACTGTCAGTGGAGGGAAGTGGTGGGAGGATAGCCATCAGTCGAGAAGCAGTGTCAGCAGGAGGGGAGACGAAGGAGGAACATGAGGATAAGGTGAATCAGAAGGAGAGGGAAACATCCGAGAAAGTACTGCTCCTACTTCAAAATCTGACGCATCAGTAGTGACGATGAAAGGGCGATCAAAATTTGGGAGGCGAAGAACCGGTGCACAAGTCACCGCCTTCTTGAGGGCGCGGAAGGTGTCCTCGTAGAGGGGTGGCCAAAACCACGGCGGGTTCTTCCCGAGGAGGGTGGAGGTAAGGACGTAGGAATACCTAGCGTACTCCTGGATAAAATTACTATAGTGGCTGGTGAGGCCTAGAAAACTGCGAAGCTGCTTGGCAGACGTGGGGACGAGCCACTCTGCAATAGCAGTGATCTTCACGTCGTCCATGTGGAGATCCTGGTCAAACACATGGTGTCCTAGGAAATCAACTTTTCGCTGGGCAAAGCGGTATAGTAGCTGGTGAGGCCTAGGAAATTGCGAAGCTGCAGACGTGGGGACGGGCCACTCTGCAATAGCAGTGATCTTCGTGTCGTCCATGTGGAGACCCTGGTCAGACACATGGTGTCCTAGGAAGTCAACTTTGCGCTGGGCAAAGCGGCACTTACTAAGCTTGGCATAGAAGTCATGCTTGTGTAAGCGCTGTAGGACATCGCGGAGGTGTCTGATATGGTCTTCTAAGGTACGGCTGTAGACCAAGATGTCGTTCATGTATACGATAACGTATTCTTTGAGGATGTCCTTGAAGATATCGTTCATCGTCGTCTAGAAGGTGGCAGGTGCATTGGTGAAGCCGAATGGCATCCCCGTGAACTCGTAGTGGCCGGAAGGCGGTCTTCGGCTGATCCTCTGCGGCAACGCGGATCTGGTGATAACCGCTACGAAGATCGATCTTCGTGAAGAAGCGGTTGCCTGTCAGACGGTCAAACAGCTCATCCGCGAGGGGCATAGGATAGTTGTTCTTTACCGTGTGACGGTTAAGGTCGCGGTAGTCGATGCAGAGGCGAAGAGTTTCGTCCGCTTTACGAGCAAAGAGGACAGGTGCACGCCTAGGGGAGTTACTGGGTTTAATGAAATCCAGTCGAAGGAGCTCCTCAAGCTGACGCTTGAGTTCCGTCGCCTTTGGGATCAAAAGTCGGTACGGTGCCTGATGATGAACACGATAGTCAGGCACGAGCTGGATAGAATGCTCAACACCGCGCATCGGAGGGATCCCACTGTATGAGAAATACGGAGGGAAGACGTCGCGGTACTCTCGAATCTGGTCGCGAACGGCAGACTCTAAGTCTGTTGTGAACCGTGCGAGTTTCTCAATGTCCGCGTCGGCACGAGACGTATGTGTGGACTCGACAGTCGACGGCGCAAGGGCCTGGGATGTGGAGGGGGTATCCGCAGGCTGACGGGTGGACGTAGAGATGGGAGCCGCGAAGATGGAGGAAGGGTCAGGAGGATCGGGCTCCAGTAAGATGAGTTTAACCTTGGGACAGAGGGGATCATAGCGAAGAAGATCCATGACGTTCACTGAGTAGAACGTGACGTCCTCCTCTCGTAAGAAGTGAGCAAACTGACGAGGAGAAGTGAAGGCGATGTCTGGGTGGGATTCAGAGGGACGAGGGTCCTGGGAAGGTAGGTCTGGAGGGGTGTCGCCCGTGGTTCCAGTGAACGGAACGCGATAGGTCTGACCACACTTCGTTTTGAGAACGAGTGTCTCAGTTGCCCGTTCGGCCTCTGTACCACGGAACCGGCGAGACCAGGGAGTGCCAAGGATAAAGTCGTACCCAGTCTCCAATACGTCGAAGTACGTGGAGGAATGGTAGCGCCTAGGCGTCTGGGTACTATCCGATGGCTGGAGGGTGAGGGAGAAGTGGAGGTCGGGGACCATCTGATCGAAGAAGTGTTGTGTCTTGTTATCTCCAAGGGTAACAGAGATAGGAGAGCTAGACCCAGAGGTAGCTAGGCGAGCTTCCTCAACCACTCGAGGGTGAACGAAATCTCCCTGTGAGCCAGAGTCCCATAAAGTGCGGTACACCCTCGTAGATTTCCCTAGGCGAATAGGGATAATAGGTAGGGTGGGATCAGGGTCAGAAAGCAAAGCGAGAAGACGACACAAGACGTTGAGGTGTCTCGTTCGCGCGTGGTGTCGCGTGACTGGGTGGCGGCGGCGGTGGATCGCGAAGAAGATGGGGCGTCGGAGAAGCGACTCCGCATCTTCTGGTACTGTCGAGCAGCCTCGTAGGCCTGCTCGGAGGAGGCGAAGCTTTGTCTCCAGAGCTCGATGCGGTAGTCAGTCGGACGATTGACTACGAACCTGTTGGTCAAAAGGACCTCAGGTAGGAGTGCCTCATCGCAGATGAGGTGGGCGTCCTGAAACACTCTAATGTGCCGCTCAAGATCGACTGGTGCGGAGGACCTGCGCCACTGCGTCTGGGTGACCCGATTTAAGGCGTCGATTGCATCGTGGAGAGTGTCGTAGCGGTCATGGAGGAAAGCGGTGAAATCGGCGAGAGTGGGAGCCTCACCTGAGCGAGTACGATGGGTATAATAGTTCTCTCATGCGGAGAACGCACTGCCTTGCAATTTAGTTGCAAGTGCGGAGCACCACAACTCCTGACCAGTGTTAGTCAGTGTCAGCGCACGTGTTGCAGCCTGCAACCACACACGCATAGTACCATCGAAGTCAGGTATGTCTGACAGACGCACAAGGGTGGGACCATTGTGCTGACGACAAGGGGAGAGAGGTCGAGGGGCCTGCACTGCGGTGGCAAAGGTCGAGGCCGGTGCAGACATGGAAGTGGTAGCAGGCCGAAAGTCGGGGCTACTGGTGGAAGGTCCAGCAGACGTGGAGGCAACAACCGCAACCAACTGTGACGAAGTAGCGAGGTAGTAGGGTAGAGGGGGGGGAGCTGGTCGAGGGAAACGGGCCGGCAAGACAGAGGTGGGAGGGGCTGTATAAGAAGAAGAAGGGTGGGCAGCCTATGATGGGTGAGGCTGTCTCAAGGAGAGAATCTCCGCCTGGAGCTGCGCCACAGTGGCCTGTAGGGTAGCCACCCGCTGGGTGCGCGGGGTCAGAGGTGAAGGGGGCAGAGAGAGCACCCCAGCGGGAGGAGGAAGAACTCTGGGCCGTAGTGCCGCGACAGGTGCAGGAAGCTGGAAAGATGCAACGGGGTGGGTAGATGAAACCTCCTGGTCAGATATCGGTATCTGGGCGACAGCACATGCGGCAGTGGCCGAAGCGACCGGGGCGACGGGAGCGACAGGGGTCACTGGATGTGCCACAACAGATGAATGATCTGAGCGGCAGCAGCACTCACCACTGTGGAGGGGGAGTGTTGGGCCGGGCCTGCGGAGGAGGACAAACCGCCACGTCTCCGTCCCTGGAGTCGTGGAGAGCCGGACTCTGAGCCGGTAGGGGATGGTGTCTGAGAGTGGTGGGGAGAGCGATGAGGAGAGCCCTTGAGGTGGTGAACTTCAAGGGCGAGCGCATTGACTTGCCTCTCCAAGGGTGCAAGCGCTTCCAGTCGCGCTTGCAGAGGTGCAAGGAGAGATGCAAGAACAGCGTGGAAGTCCGTGGGGTCCACAACGTGCTGTTCCTGGACCGTCAAGTGGGTGGACGCCTGAGAGGTGGACGGCGCCGTGACGAGCTCCTCAGATGTAGCCATGTCTGTGGGCGGTGGAGGAAGAGAGGTAGACATGGTGGGAGGGGGGGGGAAAGAGGGGTTATGGTATGGGGACAGGGGACCACCGGTGAGAGGGAGGGGACCGCGAGAGCGAAGTGGGTATTCGTGTGTCGGCTCGCCCCGTGACCAGCAAGTCGCGCGATGGTGGCGCGAATCCGTTCGAGGGAAGAGGAGCCGTTCGCGTCCTGGGTGCCCGACGAGAGGAGGCGGGGGAGTAAGGGGGGTTTAGGAGAACCTTGAACCCTAGAAAAACCCTAAGGAAACCCTAATCGGGACTCGGGTGGTTAGGGGAGCGTAGCGGCGACCTAATCAATAAAAGAAAATAATAATTATTGGGAGGAGGGGAAGAGAAAATAGAATAAACAATGAAATTTCGAGATTAAAAAATAATAATAATAAATAAAAAAAATAAAAAACCCCAGGCTACCAGAGTGGCTCGGATCCACTTGTCCGATCGGGCCAAAAATAAATAAATAAAAAATAGTTTTTTATTTTATTTTTTATTTTAAATTTGGCAAAGAATTTAGATGTGACCCTGAGGCAAACGTTGTTCAATTTGTTTATTTGCATAACATAGTTTTTTT